TTAGTAACAGCTGCCCAGGAGGCCAAACCCTCCCAGTCCTGCAGTTTGCAGCAATAGCTCGCATTAAGGCTATGCCGCTGTGTGGTTCCTCAGATGATTTACATTTGGGAAGATATGGGTGAGTCCTCTGACAGACAGCTGCCTCTAATATGTACATTTGGGTGATGGTCGTGATTATAATTTTGAAGGTGAAAATGTGATTAGTGAAATTATGATGAGACTCCCTCTGATGCCCTGGTCCTTCCTTCAGAAACTCAAGGGTCTTTTTGCAGGAATATCTCTGAGCAGAAAGGCAGCTGCAGGTAATGATTTTACTAGGAGGCTCTTAATAACCCAGAATCCTACCTGTTTCACTATAGGACAGCCCATTAACCAAGGTGATTTCTGCCAGTTTCTCTGCCTCCTGTTAGTGTAAACAGGGTTGCTTTCTTCTCAGCCTCAGAGCAAGTCCTTGGCTTTAATCCAAGCTGCTTCTGCCTGTTTTCTTCAATAGTCTCTGTGCTATTGAAGCTGTTTGGCTGTCACTCTTCCATGGTTTGGGTGTTTTGTCATTTTTTGATGCTAGGATGCGTTTGCTGTCAGGAGGAATTTACAGGCACATTATTAGCTCGCTTGTCAGGGACAGGGAGCCACACTGGCTGCTGAGCTGGAGCTGCCACATGCAGCTCCTTCGTTTTCTGCTGGCTGTGGTGGAATTTCCCAGCTGCACTAATTATATTATCGCCCTGATACAAGCCTCTGAAATAATAAAATACCTATAAGTCCTGCTGCTTGGACTTCAGAGCAATTGCAGTTAGTTTTAAATAATTCACTGCAAAATCAGCTGGGAGAATACAAAGCTGTGCAATCCTAATGCCTGCTATTATTATATTAAACCTCACCAGGTTGCAATACTTAGAAACAGTTGCTATGTAGGGTTGGAGCAGTCATTCTTTGGGCTGGATTTCAGGAGTTCACAGTAATCAGCACCCATCCTGTTTTTACTGGTTATTGTTTTTCACTGATTAACTTTGCTCTTTTCCCTCTCCCTGAGTATCAGAAAGGGTCTGTGGCCAGCGTGGTTGATGGGTTGGGTGATAGACAGCTGCTCTAAAAGTAGACGGCAGGACTGGAGGGAAAGGCAACTTGACTCTTCCTCCAGGAGGCTGAGATCCTCTGTATCACATACGGTCCTGACCTGCCTTTGGGATGGTTTTTCTGGGGGCCGAAAAACATGAGATTCATCCCTGCACAGTGGCTGAATAGGTTTAATAATGAAACTCTGAGAGTATTGTTATAAAAGAGTTTGTGATGCAATACTATCTGCACATCTTAGCAGCAATTCTTGGGCGTGAGATTCTTGGGACTTTGCACAGCAATACATACCTGCACAAAGCAAGGAACAGAGAAGACCACAGTGAGCCCACAAATGTCGTTCATTTAGGGGGTGGCATTAAAATGTCATTTTCACTTGCTGGTGGTGGCTAAAAGAACTAATTTGTCCCTAAACCTTTGCCTGTTACGAATATCTGTGGGACGGTTAGGATTTAAGGCTGATTCAAGGGGAACATTTAAGAATGTGCTAAATTCTAATCTTGTGCTCAAGTTCATTATTTAGCATAACACACGCATATGCTTTGAGCTGACTCCAAGAAGATACTTAAGCATATACTTACGGTTTAATATATGCAAAGCATTTTGCTGAGACAAGGCCTTACTCTCTAAAAGAGAAGCATGTAAATGTACTACAGGAAATTTCCAGTACTACATGCTACAGCATGGTATCCTAGAGAAACTAACAGCCGGCTTAAAAGGGAAGGAGCTGTGTCCATTAAGAGGATAGTGGGACAGAAGTAAGAAACAGTAGATCTATTACAAGCAACTGGTTTTCCTGGAAAAAAACTAAACTGGACTGGTTGAAGATTATTCATAGAATCACAGAATGGTTTGGGTTGGAAGGGACCTTGAAATCACCTAGTCCCACCCCCTTGCCATGGGCAGGGACACCTTCCACTAGACCAGGTTGCTCAAATTCCAGCCTGGCCTTGAACACTGCCAGGGGGGGGCCAGCCACAGCTTCTCTGGGCAACCTATGCCAGTGTCTCACCACCTTCATAGTAAAGAACTTCTTCCTGATATCTAATCTAAACCTATCCTCTTTCAGTTTGAAACCGTTACCCCTCATCCTATCACTACCCTCCCTGATCAAGAGTCCTTCCCCACCTTTCCTGTAGGCCCCCTTTAAGTACTGGAAGGCCACTGTAAGATCTCCCCAGACCCTTCTCTTCTCCAGGATGAACAACCCCAACCGTCTCACGCTGTCATCATAGGGGAGGTGCTCCGTCCCCGATCATCTTTGTGACCCTCCTCTGGACCCGCTCAAGCAGGTCCATGTCTTCCTTGTGCTGGGGGCCCCAGAGCTGGATACAGCACTGCAGGTGAGGTCTCACCAGAGTAGAGTAAAGGGGGAGAATCACCTCCCTCGACCTGCTGGCCACGCTGCTTGGGCTGCAGCCAAGGATGGGGTTGGCTTTCTGGGCTGCCAGGACACATTGTTGGTTCGTATTCAGTTTTTCATCCACCAAACACCTCCAGGTCCTTCTCCGCAGGGCTACTCTTGATTGACTCATTGCCCAGCCTGTATCTGTGCTTGGGATTGCCCTGACCCAGGTGCAGGACCCTGCACTTGACCTTGCTGAACTTCATGAGGTTTGCACAGGCCCACCTCTCCAGCCTGTCAAGGTCCCTCTGGATGGCCTCCCTTCCCTCCAGTGTGTCGATTGCACCACACAGCTTGGTGTTGTTGGCAAACTTGCTGAAGGTGCGCTCAGTCCCACTGTCCATATTGCCAACGAAGATGCTAAACAGTGCCGGTCCCAATACCGACCCCTGAGGAACACATCCTTACCTTTTATATATAAAATAGACAGCAGTTTACATCTGAGTCACTAGAAGAACTCAGCTTCTGGTAAAATCCTCCCTCCAGCACCTGCAGGGCCACTACAGCAGCAAGACTACTATGGTGCTGATTTATTTTAAGAATAGGCTATTAGTTTTATTTTTCTTTAAAGGAAGAAGAATTGAATATTCTTTTCTTCCCTATTGTCCAGTTGGTAAAAATAATCCCACTGAAATCAATGTGAATTTTATTGCTGTCATTGCAAGAGAATCAGACTATGGTATTTGTGTACTTTTTGATGGTGATTTTTAGAAAAAGCTTCTCAAAAGCTTTTTCTTGTCCTTTTGTACATCAGAAAATTTACGCCTTATTTTTCATCTTTTTCATGAAAATCCTGAGAACTGGAGGATTAGGGTTGTCATAAAAATGAAATCTGGGAGGACTAAGGGTTTTAATCAGACTGGTTAGAAGCTGTCAGGTTTTAGTTGTGCTGTTAGCTTTTATTTAACTCAAGCTCTAGACAATGAATTGTTGAAAAGTTTCCTTTTGAAGTATTTGTCACTCTTGCTTCTTAGAGAGGATAAAGTTCCCATTCTGGAACTCTCTTTCCCAAGAAAATTCAGGAAAGTCACACCTCTAACATTTAGCAATATGAAGAGAAGGGAAAATAATGTAATTTACATATTGCTGCAACTTTGACTTGTGGATGGGTTTGTTCTACAGTTTAAATATCTGCAGCAGTTACCCTATACCCTCTTGATAGAAAAGGAAAAAATTTTGGCCCAGTACATGGACATTCATCTCACCCACAATAGATACTTGAATAAGGCTGCTGAGTCTCACGCCAGAGATGCCCATCTCTCCACTGGTGATGAAAGGAGCCTTGGGGATCTAGTTCACACTTGACTAACTTTTAGACATCTCAAGTAAGGTGTCAAGACTTAGGTTCAACTCAGTGAATCCATCTCTCCTGGCCATTAATTCTCTATTCTGGCCCTTGCTTTCTCTAGCCTGCTTGTCCCTGCTCTTTGAAGTCTTCATGCTATACTCCTGCAAGTACATGTTTTGCTTTCTGGTTCCTTTTCAAGGACAGCATCATATAGAAAAATAATTCTTGCACTGAAAGTTCCTGAAGTTTGAAATCCAGCTGTGGAGACCACTTTGAGCAGGTGGGCTTGGTAGGAGGAAGAAATGTGGAAAATAGGGAATACTCTCAACAGAAAACACTTGCCTATTCCACAGGGAGGGATGGAAAAATTAAGATCTTTGAGGAAAGAACTAGGCTTTCATCCTCTTTTTGCGTTAGGGAACCATCTTTTTGGTCTCAGTTCATATATAACTTTGTACAATAGGTTCCTGGCTGGAGACAGGACTTTAATTTGGGCTAGGTTAATGCAAATACATAACAGTGTAGAAGTTACATTTCTGTTTCCCTCAAGCCTGAGGAGCTGGTGTGCAGGAAGTCTCAGTGGAGCTGAGTTAACATATCTGTCCTAAAAAAACCTGTCCTTTTAGCTATGTTGTAGCACCACGTGATTTAAAAAAAATTCTCTGCCAGCATGAATTGTCTTTCTTTTTCTAGAGAAAAAGGGGTAAATGTGACTTCAACGCGCAAAAAATACATTTTTCATTTCATTTTGAACACCCTCATTTTCTTGCCAAACGACAAAGCTCCTGATGATGGCATAAAACTGAGTGTAGCAATAAATACTAGAATTGAAGAACACATTATAACACAGTTTTGCTTCCCTATGGAGTTTAAGGAAGCAAAATCCTATTTGACAACATCTCCAGCTCTGTCTTTCAAAGGTGCTTAGCCTTGACAATTGTTGAGATTTTTATTGTGTGTGCTGGTCAGGGAAGGGTTGCTGCCTGCTCTTGGCTGAACAGAGAGTGATTTGAAGCTACTGTGAACAGAGCTTGTGCTGCACTGAGGATTCTCTTAACAAAAGACTGTTAACATTGATCCAAATAAAAGAATAATATGACTGACAATGTTAGGGAGGTGGATCAATACAATAGTTTAAGATACAGTGGCAGCACTTGTTTCCCAAGAGACCGTAGCACAAGGCAAGTACTAGGGCTGCTACACTACTGAAAACATAATGATTTAATGTAAACTTGAAAGCAATTCAGATTGAAATAGAGAGAATATTGTTTTTTATTAAATCCTTCAAGGCTCTTGTCCCCCTTTGTTAGCCAAGCTCATCTACTCAATATACTTTCTTGTCTTCAACTCCAGCCTGAAGTGAAAATAACCATTATTCCTACCATTGTTGCTTCGGTGCAACAGTACTACAGGTGCTAACAAGAATATACAATCCTGCTCAGATTAATCCTTGTGTCTGTGACCTGAGGCAAAACCTTCTGAAGTCAAAAGGAGTTCTTGCACTGAGGTTAATGGCCTTCAGATGAGGTCACATGAAAATGCAAGCAAGGATGGAGGACAGAAGAATGACCGACTGATAAGGGATTTTTTTTTTCTTTCCCTGCTTCCTTCATTCCTTGGTTCCTTCCATATAATAAATGCCTCCTCAGCTTCACTTCTGCTCAGTTTTCATAGGATATTTCAGGCTGGAAAGGACCTCGGGTCTTTAGCCAACCAGTTTGCCAGGTTGCTCAGGGCTTTATCCATTCAAGTTTTGAAAACGTCCAAGACAGGAGGAAGACTGCATAACCCTGCTGGGTGACCTGTTCTACTGCTTGCCTTTTCCCATAGGGATGATTTGTCCTAATATTCAGACTGAACTCTTGTTTCAGTGTGTGCCTGTTGTCTGTCACTTCCCACTGTGCATCTTGGTAAAGACGCCAGCTCGATTGTGTTGTTGACATATGTTCTTCTGGGTCTGCAATCCCATCTCCAGGTTGACCAAGCCCAGCTCCCTCAGCCCCTCCACACATGCCAAGTGCTCTTGCCCCTGAGCATCTGGGTGGCCTC